CCGGAGAGTGGGATTGGGTGCATAGCTGAGGCATGTCTTTCACTATGACACTCCTCACACTTGATGACAGATTTACAGTCCTTAGCCATGTGCTCCAATGAAGCGCAGCATCTGAAACATACCCCAAGCTCGGTGAGGATTTTTCTTGCGCTCCTGTATGGTTTTTGGATCTAAACCCTCTATCTACATTTGTTCAGAGAGTGTGGTTTTTTATGAATGGGACATTCACGATTGGGGACATTCACGATTGAAAGTCTTATCTCCTGATGAGGTAGTGTACTGTTTACCCGTGGGTACTGCAGGAGATGGTAGGTTAGTCTTTCTAACACTCACGCTGCTCTTGAAGTCTCTGTGTTTATGCGTGATGCTTTCATACCTTGATGATGATGTTGCTGAAGCTGTAGTGTTGAACTCCAGGAAGTCGAGGCTGGGTCATTCCTCATCTGGGACTGTTCATCGATAAACCTACAGAAGTGAATAAATGGGGGAAAGGTGATGTCATGCTCTCTTTTGTACCTTGAGACTGATGCCGCCCACTTTTTTCTTGCAGACTGTATGGTAGCTTCACGACAATTGGGTTCACTCCATGAGCTGTATCCAGGTAACAAAGCCCAGACAGACGAGGGTCACCCTTGGCAAGCTCCAGTTCCATGAGCAGATCACTTAAATCCTGAAGCTTCTGGACATCCTTGAGATTGATCCTTGGAACGTTCTGCAGTCTCTTGAATAGGGCCTTCTCTATTGCTTCTGCACTGCCGAAGGTACGTTCGAGTCTCTGCCAGGCGACAGCAAGACCTGCTTCTGCTTGTCCCACATAAACAGTTCTGAGGCTCTTGACACGATTTGTGGAGCGCCTGGGCCCAGCCATTTTGATCAAGAGGTCAAACTCCTGCTCTGCGGTTAGGTTGAGGTTAGCGATGGCGGCCTTGAAGGTTGCCTTCCAAGCTCTGTAGCTCTCTGCACGGTCATCAAATTTTGAGAGACTGGTGTTGATTAGCTCTCTGCTCACCATAAACCTGGCAAACTCAGACATATCAGATTTCTCACTGCTTGTTGCCATGACGACTTGTGATGCCCCTGGGGCGTATTGGCTGCCTGGCGTGAAGGGGTGAGATGCTTCCGGGTAGAATGATGTAGCTGCAGGGTTAAGCTTTCGTTTAGCCTCTGTATATTGTGATGACTGCTGCTTGCTGAGCTGTGGAGGTAGGCCAGAAAAACGCCTGATAGCGATCTTTCTGTAACAAAACCGTCCTTGAGAGGGCACTTCCGGGTAACGGTTATTAGGTTGCTCGGGTGCTGTGGGTGGCACTGGTACCGCAGGTAGAGCTGACTTGGAGGTTTTCAGTGTTCTCGGCTTGGACGGTACTGCAAACTGGGGGGTGGCGCAGATAACTGATTCAGTACATAGTCACTGGTGCGATCAACTGGATCATCTATCTCCTGTGGTAGCGAGCAGACTGGATCAAGACCTTGGCTCAATGCTTGCTCAAGTAGTCTTACTTTAGCTAATGCAATTTCCTCCTGCGTCTCTGATTCGAAAATCTTTATTCGAGCCTCTGCTTCTGCACCCTCTTGGCCTCTGCTTCTGCCTCTGCCCTCTTGGCCTCTGCCTCTGCTTCTGCTTCTGCCCTCTGGCCTCTGCCTCTGCTTCTGCCCTCTTGGCCTCTGCCCCTTGCAAGAGCTTCTTTTTCAGTGAAGGAGCGTCTCGCTTTGGATTGCTCTGCGTTTATGCGGGCCTCTCTAGTAATCTGTCGCTCAAGGCTGAGCTTCTTGAGCACGATGATCTGTATGACCGAGAGGAATGTTTAGATGAATTTGATCTGTGTGATTTAGTTTCTTGCAAATGCGAGATACGGAGTTCCGCTTTACCTTTAACATCCAGCACCATGACGTCTCTTTGTCTGGCTATTGATTCTGCCTTGCCTTAGTTCTGATAGGGCTTCATCGATATTAGAGTCTTTTAGAAAGGTTATATACCTTGTGGACAGTCTATTGTATCTTTCTTGAGACGCTGTGTCCAGCCGCCCGATGGCAACTTGTAAGCTTGTGGCATCACCTGAGGAGGATTTAAGTCCGGACATGAGGGAGGAAACTCGTTCCCATTGCTCCTCCAGGTTATCACATAGCTCATCTTTCGTGGTGTGATAATTTTCAATGACTTTTACTGTCGGTTTGAGAGAGAGCGTCTTGGTCGTAATGACTTGTTCTGCTGGAAGTGTGGATTCTGTTCCCTGCCCTTCATAACGATCAGTATCAGGTTGTATTTGCTTTAGTTCATCACTGGGGAACTGTGCAAAGTCCTTTTCGGCCATTTTGACTTAAGGTGCGCTGTCCCTTTAAGAAAATGAAGTTTTGAATTGGGCGCTGAAAATCGCAGCACAGCTCCGATAGGGCACCTTGACAAAATTTCTAAGATATTTAGAATGAATTGCGGGGTTTTGCGGCGGCCACGGCAGTGTAAGGAACGTGCATAAACAGTACTTCTGTTATGCGAGGAAAAGTTAATATAGGACTTTAGGAATGGCTTGGCGAGTTGTGGAGGACTTCCAGGCGAGACTATAGATACTGCGTATGTGCAGTGCTTCCGCATAGGCTTGTGGAACATGCACTGTAACCGGGCAGATTTGCTGCAAGTGGGCCTGTTGCTAGGGAGATTCCTGAGTGTGGTACTGGACTCTGAGGGAATCTGTAGCGGGGTATGGACTTTAAGGCAGTTTTTGACTGTTCTGTCCCCACATGAAGGCGAATGAAGGTATAACTGATAATGGCTGTGTAACTTCCTACCTTCGTATCCAAGCAGTGGAGCAGACCGGACCGGCAGATGTTCAGGTTAGACGGATCCAAACGTATACACAGGAATGAAATCAGCGTGGGTTTATTTGGTCCAAAATACAGCGACAAACAGTGATACAATACTGTAAGGTAGTAGAGGTATTCATGCTGTCCTGTTATAATCTTTCCTAAGGCTAACTGCTGGTCAAAAACTGATGCCTTCACAAGCCCTGGGTATTGAATGTCCTGTCACACAGCTATACAGCAGATAAAATGGCTGCAGGAAGTGACCAGAACCAAGGCTTGCCTAAAACCACACCCAGCAGAGAAAACACTAGCTATAACAAAGGCATGCAGCATGCAAATTCTGGCCAGCAGATGGCAGCAACAGATCAAGACATAGAAACAACATGGTGAAATAAGAATTGGTAATACAATGCACAGTTAAATAACAAATATGAGGAGAACAGCACAGCAGACCCGCCAGTGGATCCATTTGCTCAGTGGGGGATCTCTCTGCTGATCCCGGCTGAGCAAGTGGATTACAGGCCTGTGTCTGCTCCGCTGCTGTAGAGCGGACACAAACACAGCCTGCTTTTTCCTATGGGGCGGTCGATGGAAACGGACCGCTTGTCCATTTCCATCCAACTGTCATCTGATCCGCCAGACAGATGGGGAACAGATCCCCATCCGTTTGTTTTTTGGCATACAAGATTGAATGCCAGCGGGTGTGAGCAGACTCGATCGGACCATCAGTGTGAAAGGGGCCTTACACTCTACCAGTTCATACTAAGTGACTGTACTCCAGCAAACACTTTTACTGAAAGTTCCTTGTCATCTCTCACATAGAGAAATCCTGGTAAAAAAAAAATGTCAGTACACAGAAGATTCACATAGCCAATAATTTGACTTGGTTGAAGTGATTGCAAACCTCAGACATGAATTCTGAACAAACCATATCATTCTATAGTGTGTACTTGTCTCAATTCAAACCACTAAGTGCCACTTCTGCTTCCTGCTTTGTTCCTCTGCTATCAGCATGAATCACTTCTGACAAGCTTTCCTGACACCAAGAAAAAGTTGGTGACAGGGTAGGAATCTACAGCAGATTGACAGCTTCAGCTCTATTCCTGTGCACTGTATGAAGGGGGTTGTGTCACTTCCCTCCAATCAGTTCCCAGAGATTTCCTCACTGAGCTCTGCAGAGTGTAACTTCAGCTCACCACCCCCTTTTTTAAACTCTCAGGCAAGCTTATAAACTCAGCAATTTGAATAGATGTAGAGAAGAGAAGACGGTAGATAAATAGGTATAACTTATGTAGGAGGATTTGTTTAATCTCTGTATCACCTGAGGACATTCACTTCACAAGGTATACAGTATATAAGGGTTTACAGTGACTTTAAACCTGGAAATATACAGTTTTGATTCTTACAGTAGTGGATTGCAGAGGACTCAGTTTAAGGGAGCGTGAATGAAGGTTCTGATTTTATTACAGGTGCACTGTTTGCTGGACGACACCAGCAGATAATAGATTGGTTTCATCTGCTACCTTTAATGGCTCTGTAAAGCAGAACTACAATGTATCTGAGCACCACAAACTAAAAGCATTATTTAATTCAAAGAAGAACTCACCCATCCATCCATGTTTATTTTGCTGAGACCTCATTTAGAAAAACACCCCTTTAACATTTTCTGGCTGTGGCCATCTTGAATGAGGGGAGATGATTCATGTAGTATTTACTTCCTGGAATTCATCTGCCCTTAGCTCAGGCATACAAGCAGGAGGGTGTGCTTAGCTGAGAAAAAAAACCCTCTTCCCCTCCTGAAGACTCCTGGAATATGGGACATAATTTGCCTAGGCATGGAAATTAGGAAGTAACTTAAGAAATCTAAAAAAAACAGTTTGAGGTCTCATGCACACTTGAAAAGCTAAAAACTGCTTTAGAAATGTTGGACAAAAAACGCTAATATTTTAGCATTTTTTTCCATGTTAAGCCTAGTCTGTAAGCCTCATCAGGAGAGGGCCACCATTGCTAGGGAGAGGGCCAGGAAGCCAGCAACAACATTGGATGGATCATCAGCTGTCAGCAGGCTTCCCCGCTGACAGCTGAATGTAAAGATAAAAGATTACCGGCAATAAACAAAATGTGAAAAAAACTCCACCCTTACCAGGCCCTTTGGGTCTGGCATAGCTTTTAAAGGGGAATCCCACACCAAAATGTAACAACAAAACTGTGCATAGCATAGCCATCCAAAGCAGTGTGATTACAGAGACAGAGACAAAATAAAACAGCACACAGTTAACCCTTTGATCGCCCCTCATGTTAACCCCTTCCTGCCCAGTGCCATTAGTACAATGTCAGTGCTTTTTTTTTTTAATTTTTTAGCACTGATCACTGTATTGGTGTCTGGGGATGGCAGTGACACCAAGTCAGTTCTCTCCAGTGTCAGAATGCCCACCGCTGTCCCAGTATAAGTCACTGATCGTTGCCATTACTAGTAAAAATAAAAAAATTCCACTATCTATATTGCCATTTGTAGACGCTAAAACTTTCATGCAAACCATTTAATTTACACGTATTGGGATTTTTTTTAGCAAAGATGTAGCAGAATACTGCTACAGGACGGCAGGGTTGTGCAGTCATGTATATATATGTGATTTTGCATCTCCAGGTAGAGTGCACGCGCAAGCTCGCACGCACACTACCCTCGCCGCCACTCATGGCTGCGCCTGTCGATCACCGGGTCCCGGCCGGTGATTACCAAGCATCTCCCATGGCGAAGATGACTGTTTTGTTTTACTAACAGTCCTCCTCGCTGTCAGGTCGGGCACACTGCTCTGGATGGCTGTGCAGAACACAGCCATTCAGAGCAGTGTGCTTCAGTGAAGCACACATACACCACCCTCCAGTACAACACTCCCAGTTAACCCTTTGATTGCCTCTCATGTTAACCCCTTCCTGCCCAGTGCCATTAGTACAGTGGCAGTACTTTTTTTTTTTAGCACTGATCACTGTATTGGTGTCACTGGGGATGTCAGTGACACCAAGTCAGTTCCCCCCCCCTGTGTCAGAATGTCTGCCGCAGTCCCACAGTCCTGCTATAAGTCACTGATCGCCGCCATTACTAGTAGAAAAAAAAAAAATTCCAGTATCTATACCACCTTTTGTAAACGCTATAACTTTCACATAAACCAATTAATTTACATGTATTGGGATGTTTTTTTTTTTTTTAGCAAAGACATGTACCAGAATACATTTTTAGCCTACATTTATGACAAAATTAGATTTTGTAATTTTTTTTACTGGACATGTTTAATAGCAAAAAGTCAAAAATACAGTTTATTTTCTCAAAATTGTCAGTCTTTTTTTTTTAATAGCACAAAAAATTAAAACCTCTCAGGTGATCAAATACCATCGAAAGAAAGCTCAATTCATGGGAAAAAAAGGACGTAAATTTCATTTGGGTGCAGCATTGCATGACCGCGTAATGGTCAGTTAAAGTATCTCAGTGCCGTAACGCAAAAAATGGCCTGGTCAGGAAGGGGGTAAATCCTCAGGAGGGCAAGTGGTCAATGCATTTTATATTTGTTTCTAGGGTTCTTGTGCACTTAACTGCCAGTAAATTGCAGGGCATTTGGCTTTTTAAATATTTTTTTATAAATTCCCTTTCATTTCAGTGGCCATAATGCTAACCCTTTGGATTATAGGATACCCTTGCCTCTACACCTTGTTCCAAATTATTATGCAAATTCTATTTAAGTGTCACAAAGATTAAATATTTTGTTTTTCAGTTTAACTCATGGATGGCATTGTGTGTCAGGGCTCTTTTGATCCCTGAAAACAATCTCGGACACCTGTGATAATTAGATTGGCCGGAGAGCCCAATTTAAGGAAAAACCACTAAAGGAGGGTGTTCCACATTATTAAGCAGAGCACCATTTTCAAGCAATATGGGGAAGAAAAAGGATCTCTATGCTGCCGAAAAGAGTGAAATAGTTCAATGCCTTGGATGAGGTATGAAAACATTAGATATTTCACGAAAACTTAAGCGTGATCATCGCACTATTAAGAGATTTGTGGCTGATTCAGAGCACAGACGGGTTTGTGAAGATAAAGGCACATTGAGGAAGATTTCTGCCAGATCCATGCATCGGATCAAGAGAGCAGCTGCTAAAATACCATTACATAGCAGCAAACAGATATTTGAAGCTGCTGGTGCCTCTGGAGTCCCACGGACATCAAGGTGTAGAGTCCTCCAGAGTCTTGCAACTGTGCATAAACCTTCTATTCGGCCACCACTAACCAATGCTCACAAGCAGAAACGGCTGCATTGGGCAGAAAAATACATGAAGACTAATTTTCAAACAGTCCTGTTCACTGATGAGTGTCGTGCAACCCTGGATGGTCCAGATGGATGGAGCAGTGGATGGTTGGTGGACGGCCACCCTGTTCCAACAAGGCTGCGACGTCAGCAAGGCGGTGGTGGAGTCATGTTTTGGGGCCGGAATTATGGGAACAGAGCTGGTCGGCGCCCTTTAGGGTCCCCAAAGGTGTAAAGATGACCTCTGTAAAGTATGTGGAGTTTATGACTGACCACTTTCTTCCCTGGTACAGAAGGAAGAACTATGCTTTCTGTAATAAAATCATCTTCATGCATGACAATGCACCATCTCATGCTGCAAATAATACCTCTGCATCAATGGCTGCTATGGGGATAAAAGGAGAGAAAGTCATGGTGTGGCCTCTATCCTCCCCTGAACTCAATCCTATTGAGAACCTTTGGAGCATCCTCAAGCAAAAGATCTATGAGGGTGGGAGGCAGTTTACATCCAAACAGCAGCTCTGGGAGGCTATTCTGACGTCTTGCAAACAAATTCAAGCAGAAACTGTCCAAAAACTCACAAGTTCAATGGATGCAAGACTTGTGAAGCTGCGATCAAATAAGGGGTCCTATGTTACAATGTAACGTGACCTCTTAAAATGTTTAAAAAGTTAAAATGTTGTTAAGTTTGATAGAAATAGCTTTTGATTTCAGTAAATATGCTGCAAACACAACAAATGACAATTTTCAGTTCTTTATAACCTATAAAGTGTTTTGAAACTTACTGTGCGTAATAATTTGGAACAGTGCATTGTACGTTTTTTATGTTTAAAAAAAAATCCTGTTATCATTAGGAGATTTGTTCAATAAAATTTGAATTGTACTCTTAATAGTTGATAACATGAGAATTATGCTGACTGTTATTTACATCAATTATTTAGGTAAATGAGAAAAATATCATTTGCATAATAATTTGGAACACGGTGTAATCATCATATGCATGTAATAAAATTGGGAAGTCGCGCACCTTGCCATGTCATTGCTGTTGGTGGTAGGGCAGACCCACCTAGGTTACTCTGCATCCTAATACGTTTGTAAGATCAGCTAATTTGCATTCATTTTTTAAAAAACAGGACAAATAGGTTATATAGAATTAACAGATATATATAAAAAGGAGATCAGTATAACTCACTGGCCAGTATGGGTTTTAATACATGAAACCTATTTGCACAATGAAGAGTAAATAAGTCCAAGAGGCACGTGAAATGCAAACCAATTTACAGCTCACATTATTGGAAGGAAAACATATGACATCACTAGGGAGTAGAGGTTGCACAGGTTGTTAGGACAACCAGGTACATCAGGAACTTCGGAAAGCACATCCTGAGCGGTTTATCACTGCCTTTAACGAGACAAGGAGCTTTGCTTGGCCCCACAGTGGTAAGCATGATGCCTATTCGTCATATGTGCATTGTTCACAGCTGTAGCTAGAAGTTTTGTTGTGTTTTTTTATCTGTTTTACCTGGTCATCATATTTGGTGGTAAAAGTGATTGCAATGATGGCACCAGAGTGTTGTAGTTTAAGAAGTGCGCACTGCCATTTTATTGTCCAATGAAATACCTGTCTATTGGCAGATGAGGCACCCCATTAGTTAGAATGATGGACAAGTTGTATGCCAGTTCTTCATAGACAAAGCCTACTTGCAGAGTTTATCTGGGTTTGAATAATATTGGCAACATATATAAGTTGTTGACATACATATGGGTCCCTTATCTCTGCAAGGGAGCTAGATTGGTGATGTATATCAGCGATGCTGTTGATGACCATAAACACTCAAAACTGGAAGCAATAGAGAACAGGTAATGATGTGATGTGGCAAAGCTTGGAGGCACATATTGCAGGAGCTCAGTCATCTTCTGATGGAGATGGCTTCATGGCAACAGGATGTGATCCCTTGCGATGCAGCAATCCTTGAAATGGGACCAGGCTTTTGCATAGATGTCCATCACTGTCATTTCTGAAACATAAGGTTTAGTATGCAAATACTGTTTTTTCACCTACACAGTCTCTTGCACATCTGATTTGCCTGTGTTTGACTTTGAAAACACCTAAATTCTAAAGATAAAAGTATTCAGAATGATTGCAGCATTTACGTGTTCTTCAGCTACAAACATTTACACTTTTGTATGCCTTTCGATCATGTTGCATTGGAGCTATTAAAGTGGTTGTAAAGGTTGATTTTTTTTTTTACTTCATGCATTCTATACATGAAGGTGAAAAACCTTCTGTGTGCTGCTCCCCCCCACAGCCCCCCTAATACTCACTTGAGCCCCATCTCGATCCAGTGATGTACATGGGAGCCTTGACTTTCCCATGTCTCTCTCTCTCTCCTCATTGGCTGAGACACAGAAGTGGCCATTGGCTCCCACTGCTGTCAATCACAGCCAGAGAGCAAATGATGAGAGAGTCGGGGGGGGGGGGGGGGGGTGCCGAGCCGTGGCTATATGTGTCTTTTGAATGTATAGAGCGAAACTCGGGAGCGAGCACGCACCAGAGCCCTCGTAGCAAACGACTTACTATTGGGGCAATGTTCAATGGGGAAGAGCCAGGTCTACTGGGGGTGACCCGAGAAGAAGAGAATTGGAGCTGCTCTGTGAAAAACCATTGCACAGAGCAGTTAAATATGACATGTTTGTTTAAAAAAAAAAAGCTTTAATATCACTTATATTCTGCAGATATTTCAGGTAGAGTATCAAGAAGTATATGCAGAAATACAATTAGGGAGCAAAATGGAGAGTAACCACAGAATAAAAGCATTGCCAGCAACACCTTAGCTGAGCTCACCCAAGAAAGATTACTGCTTTAGTCAATTAGCACCTAACTTTTAAAGCAAGGGCTCTAGAGTTGCCTTTATTTATATCTATATAAGTTATAAAAGTTAAAGCAGTATTAAGAATTTATTATATCGCAGCTTACCAATTCTGTGATGGCTGCATTAGTTTCCTTTTTTAGGTTTTCTTTGCTTCATTTTCATCTGTTGATCCAGCCAGTAAGTCTGTTGTTTTTCAAAAGACCATTCTATCTTTCAGATTATCAGTTTACAGACAAAACATTTGGAGATAAAACATTTACCATTTAGGCTCCATGCACACTGGGCGTTTTAATAACGCTGGTAATGTTAGCTGTGTAAAGTCATGTAAAAAAACATTTTTCAGCGTTTTGCCACATTTTTTGTGTTTGTGGTTTTTAGCATTTTTTAGAGGTTTTTTTTACCCCCCAAAAAATTTTGAATGTAAAAAAAAGTCCAAAAATGCTGGTTTGCCATGATTTACCACATTTTACTGTGTTTTTCAGCGTTAGAGTGTTTTTTACAGCTACAAAACTCCTCTAGAAATCCACTAGTCCTGGGTTTTTTTTTCCAGCCAAAAAACACTCCTGCCAAAAAACGTTGATTACAGTCTGTGTGCATGGACACAAAGAATAACATGCTGGGGGGTTTACTGGCTGTAGAAAAAAACATCAAAAGCCAAAAACAGCAGCTGTAAAAATGTCCAGTCTGCATGAGGACTGACAGGGGTGATTAGAATAGTCAACTTTTATTTATTCATGTAAAATTTAACCCAAAGGACTGCTGTAACTGATTATAAAGTGTGAGGTGGAGTTTGGCTTCAATTTGTCAGTGTATCTAAATCTGCTGATACATTTACCACCCCCGACTGACAATGCTGCTGTCTGCAGTGCTTCCTGTGCTCATTCATCCAGAGTGGGGACACTAATACAGGAGATGTGTTACTGACCAGGTCACCAGAAACAGGAGGAAGAAAGCTGAAAAAAAATAAA